GTGGGGGTCGCAGGCTGAGCCCCCCCGCGCAGTGGGCCAGGCAGTTTGAGGAGGTCTGGGATGGGAGAGGACAGAGGGGAGAGGAGATGTCACCAATGTCTCCTCCCAGGGTGCTGGCATCTCCTCCGATCAGAGCTATGAGGCGCTGTCTGAGCTGGACCTGGAGCGAGAAGAGTGCAGGTAGGCATCACCTCCTCCAAGCTGGGCTCGGGATCTGGAGCTTGCATGCCAGGGGGACAGGGGACACCCCTGGGGACCACCTGAGATGTAGGGGGGGCTTTTCCTCCACCATAGAACAGATCAGAAGCATCTGGGATCAGATCAGCAGCCTCAAGAAGAGCCGATGGGCTCAGAGATGAGAAGGAGCCGTGCTGGTGGGTGGCCCTCGGGGGTACAGTATTTGCCAACAGGTGCTCTGGGGGCACAATTGGGGCAGTGCCAGTGGCACCGGGGCACCTGCGCACTGGGCAGAGCCTGGATTTGGCTGCTGGGAGCAGGGGAACACCACGGGGGCCAGGGATTGCTCAGAACTGGGATGGCTCTGAGCTCCAGATGAAGGAATGTGTGACCCCCACAAAGGCTCCAGCACCGTCAGATCAGCATTGGCAGATCTGTCACGCCGTGGTGGACGGTGCGATTGTGAGGGGCACCTTTAAAATGTGTTTGAACTGAACGTTCCATAACTCCTGATAGCATCTCAGAAAGAGGAAGGAAAGCTGCTCTTCCCATTTCGGACGGGGAGGGTTCCTTTTCCTGTGTTGCTTAGAGAGGAGGAGGCGAGCTGCAGCTCCGTGTCCTTCAGCTCTGCCCGTGGCCTTGCCAGGCAGTGCATCCCCGTGTCCCTGCCTTTTTGGCTCCGATGTTGGTCGGTCCAGCCCATCTCCTGCTCTGGGTGGCAGTCACTGCAGCGTGGCCTGAGCCAGCCTCACAATCAGCCAGATGTTGCAACCAGATGAGAACCATAGAGCCTCTGAACCAGCAGTTCATGGGTTATGGTGAACAGTGGTGGCCAGGAGACGTCTTTCTGCCCTCCTCATGCTGCTCACGACTTCAGAAACCTGCCCCCATCGCTCACCCTTTCCCCACTGGAGATGGCCAGCTTGCTCAGGTGCTCCTCAGATAGAAGTTATGACAGGGCTTGGACCATCCTTGTTGACTTTCTTGGAGCCTTTCCTTCATTCTCAAATACTTGAGAAGGGATGGTGGGGAGGTGGGGGAAGGGCTCTTTACATTAGTGATGGGTGATAGAACAAGAGGAAATGGGTGTAAACTTAGTCAGGGCAGATTCAGGTTGGATGTTAGGAAGTATTTCTTCTCTGAAAGGGTTGTCAGTCACTGGAATAGGCTGCCCAGGGAGGTGGTTGAGTCCCCATCCCTGGATGTGTTTAAGAATAGGGTGGATGATCTACTTAGGGATATGGTTTAATGGGGATTAGGGACGGTTGGACTCGATGATCTGTAAGGTCTTTTCCAACCTAGAAATCTATGAATCTATGGTCTCCATCCAGCATCTTCCAGGGACCTGAGATCCAAGCATCCTGTGGACATCAGCCAGGCACTTTTAGCCCTGGACCCACCAGGGACTTTTCAGCCTGGCCTTGTTGAGAAGAGACACGATGCGACCGTCAGCAGTGTCAGAGGCAGCGGCTCACAGGTTTTTTTCTCCCAGCCTGAGATGGGAGAAAAAAAACTCCACTGAGGAGTGAGGAGCCTCTCCACTGAGGTGGTTGGGGTGTGGAGAGTTGAACAAGAGACAGAAAAGCCTTTGAAGACCTTTTGCATTGTGCTCATGGACCCCGCTAGCCAGCTGCTCCAACGCTTTCCTCTCGAGACCAGCCCCACCAGCCTGACCACGATCCCCGTGGAATATGAAATTCCCCTTAAAACTGGGAGCTGGGTCTCTGAGGGTTCAG